GCGGCGGAGCGCCCAGGAGCGGCGCGGAGGCCGCTGGCAGCCCCGGCCCGCGGGCTCCGCTCCCGCCGGGAGCGCTCGCACCTGAGCATGACCCGGCGCCGCTGCCGCCTGGGCCGCCCTGGCGTCTCCCGCTGAAGGCATCGGCTCCGTGCCCGCCTGCCCCTCCGCCTTCCTCCTCCTCCGCGTCTTCCCCGTTGCTGAGGCCGCCGCCTCTCGCCGGAGACCTGCCGGAGTGATGGGCTGCATCGGATCCCGGACCGTGGGTAAGGCGCTGGCGGCGGCAGGAGGATGCTCGAGCCGCCGCGGCCCCCGCCGCCGGCTCGCCCCCCGCGCTCCCCTGCTCGCTGCCGAGGCCCCCTCCAGCGCCATTAGCCGCCTCCCTGCTCCCCCCGGCGCCCCGCGAGCCGCGGGCCTAGGGCCGGCGCACGGGACGGGGCAGCGCGCTGGCTCCAGGGCATGCCCGGCGCCCCCGCCGTGCCGCCCGGGGCCAGGGCGTGCGGAGCGTATGGGTCAGTGCGGGGCCGCCGGGGAGGCGTGCGGGCTGTGCCGCCCCGGGCGGAATCGGGCAGCCAGCGGCTCCCGCTCTTGCTCAGGAGCAGCCTTATTGTTATCCGYGCGTACCCATAGCGTGGCACGATGCGGATGCCTTCTCCATCCCCCCTTCCCTCTGCACAGACTTCAATGGAGAATAGCAAATAGGACCGAATCACTCCCCCCGCACAGAGCCACAGTCTTCTTGTTTTCCTGGGCCACGTATATTTTTCAGCAGAGGAACCCAAACCTTTAGGCTGCGTAATGTCGCTTTCCCCTCCTACACACCCACAGACACCAGAAGATCCCTTGATTACCGAGCAGAGGTCTCTACAGGGAAAACCAGCATCCTGTGGCACACTTTCTTTCCCACAGGAGACTTTCCTTCCGTGCGTACCATCTATAGACATGACTTAAACAGGCTTGTGGCATTCGAGACACCAAAAAGAAACCCTGAGGGAAAAGCACAGCACCTTTCATAGAACACCTCCCTTTCTTACATGCCTTTCCATGAAGCACACAGGCCCAGTGTCACCTATGAGGAACTGCAACCTTTCAAGACACGGGGGAATTGAACCACCTGCTCAGACCAACTCTGAGGGACCATGTTCAGAGTCAGCCTGATGCTGTGATACCTCTTTGCCCTTTGCTGATGGTGAGCACTTCCAGGAACCCTATTCTCCTGTAGCAGCAAACTTTAAACAAGAGGCTCCAGTTTCTTCTTTGAGATTTAATTCCCAAGTCTAGCCAATGTCTCATGGTCTAAGTTTCCTGTAGCTTCTGTAAAGGCCACATGGCTCGGCTAACTGCATTATATTCCTTAAGATTCTTTGTACTTAACCCRACAGTTCTGATCTGTGTGCCTGTGGCATCTCAAAACATCTATTGCCTCTCCCTCCTGCCTTTCCCAAATCCTCCACCCATACATGCATGTCATGCTGGACCAAATGCCAAGGACATGATTATCCTGTTAGCCAGCAAATTATCAATACTGCATCAATATGTGGCATTGAGTTCAACATTATTAGTGAATGTTGAACTAGTAGCGTTAATTTCTTATCCCTCTCCTCACAACACTATTAAAAAATAGGAAACATACCTAGAAACACCTGCTCTCTACTGTGTAGAATGACACACAGGTTTCGTATTTAACCATCCAGATATTTGTTCCTATATATGTCAGCATTTTTATGTTCTGTGACCTGAAATGTGAGTTGCCAAAAGGCCTGTGCACTTGAGCTGTTGAAAGTATCATGTGCTTATATAAATACTGTGTAGCTGTGCATGCATACATAGAAATATATGTATAAAAAAGTATCTATCTATCTATCTATCTATGCATTAAAATGATGATGGGGTAGGGATAATGGAAAATTCACCTTCTGTGCACAAATTACACTCCTAAAATATGCCTTAGGTACTGGACTATCCTTACTATATCGACTATCGACTATGAGAGGTGCTCATTTTAGATAATGAGAGCGCAGTGGACATAAGGGACCTATTTATACAGTTACCTGATGAATTTTCCTTGAGCTCATGATATGGAGATCTACTTTAAGGGTTTTATAAGACAATGATTCTAATCTTTATGTCGCCCAGATCTGAATGTAGGTATGGTGCCTAATGCCTGCACTGTGTGAAACCTCTGTGGTTTTGCTTCATGTACTTAGAGTCCTAGAGGAGAGACTGATGTCTGGATTTTTCTTGGACTCCTTCTCATAAGTAGGTTTGTTCAGAACAATTCTTGCTGGATGGCATAGAATATGTGCCCCAGCTTGCTGGGAGTTATTGTGAAAATTCTTTAGGAAAATGGGTCTGGAAGTGCTTTTAAGTCCCAGTGACCTCTGGGATGTGGCTGGAAACTTACCCCCAAACATGACCTAGAACTGTGTGTTCTTCCTTTATGGTATATGTCATTAGATTTTTGCAGAATTAGTCTAATTTATGGGTTCTTCACTGCTTTCTCAAGGTGGAACAGTTTCTAGAGATAAAAGCATGGTACACTTCTCTTGGTTTTACCTCTGAACTTGTATATAACTTTTGGGCTCTTTAACTTGAACTCAGAATTTGGGTTCTTTAACGTGAAGAAATTAGTACTAGAAAGCTCCTAATCAGTCAGGTTTAGTTTATTCACCACACAAGGTCCAATGCAGGATTGTGCCCTGAGCTTGCTGCGGGGCTTTTTCCATTCCAATTTTAAGCAAACCACATGATTTATCCATCTCCTGCAGGGACATTTTGCTATGATCTAGTTAGATGTCAGAGCTTGCACATGTTTAGTGCTATGAATCTTTGTATTTTATTTCCTAAATATTATTTTTCTAGTTATTCCTTCCCAGGGAAAACCTGATCGAGGCTCATGACAGAGTAGCTCCACTCCATATACATAAAATCAAAATGGAGTCATGTAACATCTTTCTGTCTGGGAGAGGACACCAGAAATCACCCTGACAATGATCAGGTTTGGATTTCCTGGGGTATGAGAAAAGATGAAAAGTGATATTCAAAGACTAAGATGATACCTAGTCGCATTCTCTGCACATGCAATGTAGCACACCTCAGTGTGCTTTCTGTTACATAGCAAAACAGCAGCTGTGCAGCTAACCAGAGACTTCWTGAGCATCACAGCTGGCTTCTGCCCCTGATCACAGCTATCATCCACGTCTGTTGGTGGTAATTGTCCCGTGATATTTCCTGGAAAGCTGTGTAGTGACGGTCATGTCAACTGGGACTTAATTTCAGTGATTGTAGAGGAGGCTTTAAATGAGGCTTTGGTGGACAGTAYAGTCTGGAAAGTACAGATGGGATCTTAGCAGATATTTTAGTGCTGACTATGTGCAGTTAGCAGCATGATTATTGTCGGTAATTGAGTTATCCAGTTTTAAGATACTTCAAGACTGCCTATGTCTGAATGTGTTGTAGTTCCAGTCTGAATGTGTTGCAGTTGTAACTTTGACTACAATTTAGATATATACTAATATGGGTTATTGTGACTGGAGTGGCAAGATTTCTCCAGTTCCTTGAGTGGATTTAAATGAATGGAAAGCTCAAGCTTATTGTGCTCATGCATGTTCTCGGTTTTTCCAGTGGAGACTCTGATTTCTGTGATGTCTTTTCACAGAAGCCTGTAGCAAATTTGTTTGGTGAAGTGACATCATATGCTTGCAAAATATTCATATAAGTTACAACCAAATAGTCTTTGAAACTAGAAATGTTAATACTGCATAGAAGAAAAAAACTTGATGGTGAGGACAGCTGGCCATTGGGACAGATTTTCTGCAGAGGTTGTGCAGTGTCCATTCCTGAAGATTTTCAAGACCTGTTTGGACAAAGTTCTGAGTAACCTGGTCTGACCTCACACTACTTTGAGCGTGAGGCTGGACTAAATGATTTCGGTAGGTCCCTTCCAGCCTCCGTTGTCCTACGCTGTAAAACCTGAAGTGGTTGACTCTCTGAGGCTGCTTTAACCCAGCGCTTCAGTGATGTGATGATAAAACGTTGTGCTGCCAGAGGGCCACAGGTCCTGTGCACATCCTTGCTACATGCCTATTACACCTTCCTCCTTTACCCTTTTCCTTTAAATACATACAGAGGCTGTGCCACAGCCTCTCTCACTGCAGTAAACTCAGCTGTCACCTTAAGTCCTCCCCATGTTTGTTTGATTTGGCAGCTTAGCAAGAAGCAACCCAGGTGATAGCTGGCTTGGGCTGATATCACTGTCAGGCTAGCATGGCTGTCTATGCAGACAGAAAAGGACATTTTATTTAGTAGTGTCTGGGTCAATTCAAACTTGCCAAAACCAGACAGTTAGTTTACTGGACTCCATTCTACAACAAATACCCAACGGACTGGCAGAGGTCATGGACTGGTAGAAGCCAATCGGTTAGGGTATCATCTGCTTTCTGTGTGCTCCTTCACTAGCTGCACTATGCTAAGTGCAGGTGAGTGGCTCAGCAGGAGAAATGAAGCCATGTATTTCTATTCCAGCTACTTCAGATTCAATGAAGTGGGAATAGCATAGGAGACTAACATGAGAGGGGTAAGCAGCTGGAGAAATGAGTGAATATCCCCTTCACTTTTCTCCCCACTCCCCCAACAGATCTGAAGATATCTGAGGTGACGTCTCGCATGGTAATAAGAGTCTGTGCAGGTGGAGTATGAAAAGGTGAGACATGCTCTGTGTGTACACAGACCAAGGGCCCTAGTGCTCTTGTCCTCACTCCTTCACCTCCAACATGTATGTGAGCCAGCGAAGAGAGGAAAGGGCACAGGACAGGAAAAGGCCAAACACAAGAAACCTGTATAAGGGCATCATAGAATAATCATTTACTTAAAGGCATGTGAGTGAAAGGAGGAAGGAACAGGGCTCTGGGCATTTACCACCCTTACACAGATAATTTGGAAAAAGGAGTGGGACTAAGTGAAGGGCATCAGGGCACCTTACTCCTTTCGTATTTGGGGAGAGAAGAACAGAGCAGAGGTGAAAAGGAGTATGTTTTCCACATCAGCCTGCTTTGTGTTTGATCTTACAACTCCTACTTCTTCCCAGTCTGGCTTTCCTTCTTTAGAGTGGTTTTTCAATCTGATCATTTTAAAAACTTACCTAAGTAGCTCTGGGATAAGAGCTTATTTCTACCAGTGAGGACTTRTACAGAAGTTCTCCCTGACCTAGAAGCCAGTTGTCATGAAACGTGTGAAGACTGATCATCTTTGAGACTGCTTTATCCCC